GGCTAGTGTGCTGTGGCGGGGCGGAGAGGCGGGGGGCGGGGGGCCTCACACTGGCCGGTTGTTTCCGAGATGGCCAGCAGCGGCAGCACCGGCCACGTCAGCTGCAGCAGGCGCCCCGCCGCGGCCGCCGTCTCGGGGGGCTGTCCCAGCCACAGGAGCAGCGGGCCCATCGCGCCCGCGGCCCAGGCGGCTGCAGCGGGCGCGGCAATCAGTAGACAAAGCGCCTGGGCGCACTGCGGGCCCGGAGCAGGGACAGGGTGCGCGCCCGCAGGCAGAACGCCCGGGTGGCCAGCAGTCAGAGGGGGGTCTGAGGCAGCTGTGCGTGCGGGAAATGGGTGCGCCTGACTCAACAGCCCGCACGCGCCTGCCTCATGTGCTCTGTCTACCAGCCTACAACAGCGCCTCTTCAGCCGCCCCGCCGCCCCCCTGAGTGGTGGGGAGCGCGCGGCCCTGGAACCGTCCAGGTGGACGGTCACCCCCCAGCTGCAGCCCCCCGGCCGGCCTCACCCCACCTGCAGCACCAGGCCCAGCAGGCTGTACTGCGCCGCACCAAATGCCTGCACCTCAAAGGCAGGGGAGCCGGGATCAGATTGCACGTGCGGTCGCGCATCCTGGCAAGTACTGCCCAACAGGAGGCTGTGCATGGACCAAGAATCCCAGAATTTGCTGCATCCAAAGGCCCCGCATCACGGGTGCTCCAGGCAGTGCCGCATTGCCGCCACTCTAAAATACACCGAATATCACTGACAGCGCGGAGGAGTACTGTGGATGTCACAACCGAATCAACGCAAAAGACAGGTGCGCCCGAGACCCTGACCTGGCCGCAGCACGTCTCCATGGCGGACGCTATTCCGCAAATTATGCTGTAACAGAAGTTGAGCTGGGTCTGTTGCAGGACAGAGGTTTGCCGCGAGGGGGAGAGGCGTAAGAGGGGGTGCCGCGGCTTTGGCGCTGAGCTGGCGACGCGCCTTGTGGCAGTCGCCCCTGGCAGAGCCGCTGCGCCGTGAGAGGGCCCCTGCCGATGGGCAAAACACGGCCGACTTGCACGCGTGCCGTCAGTGCACGCCGCGCCGCGGCTTTCCCTTGGCCGGCAGGGGGCCCATCACGGCAGTGATTTTCGGGGGGGGGGGGGGGGGGTAAATGGGTCAGCCCTGGGCGAGGTCCTGGGCGGCTAGGGGCGTTACCCCTTTGGGGAGCCAGGGTTTCTCCACTCGCTGCTGGAAAAGCGTGATGTATTGTGATGTAATGCGATGAAATGTGATGTGATGTAATGTGATGTAACACCTGGGCGAGGACGAGCGCTGAGAGTGCCAGGGGCCCGCCCCCCTGCCGCGCGATGCAGGTGGTGGCCACCAGCTGGGTGCCGACGTTGGTGACGCTCTCGACCATCAGGGGGCCCGCCAGCTGCAGCAGCCTGCAGGCGCGCAGCCATAGGGGTGGGGCGGTCAGGGACGACGAGAGGAGGGGTCTGTGCGTACCCCGCGCGGCTGTGAACATGGCCGCTGCTGGGACACGCTATCAGCGAATCTCATGCCCCGGCATGCAGGCTGGCGCCGCGCATCCCCTGCTTGGACCGCCGCACTGGCCTGGCACGCGGCCGAACGGGCGCAGGGCCGCGGCCACCTGGCGAGCGGCCCACTCACCGCACCAACTCCTGGGTCCGCGTGGTGCCTGCCTCCAGGTGGGCACCAGACGGCCCCTTGGCGCTGTCGCCATCGGCGCGACCCGCCCGCATGCTCGGCAGGCGCAGGGGCAGCACCAGGCCGGACGCAAAATTCTGGTTCTGCATGTATGACAGCTGCCGGGCCGCCAGTGCGCCCCCCTGCTGAACTTCGTCGCAAAGCCGCTGCACCGCCTCGCCGCCCGCGGCCACCGCGGCAGGCGCCGCCACACAAGGCGGGGTGGAACCGGCACGCTCCATGTCAATTAAAGCGCAGGATACGCGGAACCGTATCTATAAGCTTTTGTCGGATTTGAAGCAGATCGCGCATACGAGCAACCAGCGTACGTGATGGGCGCGAATACCTAGATATAAGACACTTCTTCAGTAACGGCCCTGCTCAAGTCGTGGAACGTCAACTTCACACTGTTCCTGCTGCGTCCCTGTGTCACTCTGGTGTGTGCCTGCACTCGCGCATACACGCATACGTTCACAGCTTGAAGGTACTAGTATGCAGCTTGTTCATGTGGTATTCTGGAGGGACACCAGATAAGACCTCTCAAAAAGTGCTGGACACATCAAGGCAACAACACCGCCGGCTGCGGGGCTGTGATACGTCATGGTGACATCAGCAGCAACACTTTCACGGCCATGCATGAATTGACTGGTACCCACATGTTTTCCTTTCAACGTCCAGTTAGGCAGCCATATGTACAGCCACGTCAATTTCAAATGCACGAACAAAACTTTAGCTGACCATACACATCTACATTGCAGGATCCGCTTGCTGCTGCCCGCGCCTGCACATCATGGCGGCGGCGCTGCTGGCGCCCACCCTAGCGGGAATCCTTGCTGCCGGCGCGGCCTTCTTTGCAGCATGGTCGCTGGTGCTGCCTGCGTCCTGGATGATTGGGCTTGTCCCATCGTACGAGGGCCCAACGCCTGTGCCCTGGGTGGTGAGCTGCAGACCTGGCACCAACACCTGCTGACTGCGTGGTGCAGACAAATGCGCTGCAACGCATGTCCCACCGGGGGAAGCACACAAGGTTCTGCTGCTGGCAAGCGCGCGCTCTGTGATGCCCAGCAAGCTCCACATGCCCTGTCTGCATGACCGCGCAGGGCTGCGTGTGCGACTTTGGCTGCATGAGCATGCCATGTTCACAGCCTTACTCATCAATCACTTAACGGGCTCGCCCTTGCGACCACAGGCCGCCGACCCTCAGAGCCTGCAGCGCTTCGCGGCCTGGCCCTCCATCCGCGTCCTGCACTGCCTGATCGGCGGCGCCTGGTGCATCGCCCTGATACTGCAGCTCTGGACGGCCGCCAGCCTGCCGGCGTGCGGCGGCGCGTACGCACGGCGGGCGCGGCTGCTGGCGCTGCACCGCGCATCGGGGCAGGCCATGCTGGTGGCGGCTGCGGCGGTGACAGCGGGTTATGTCATCATGGAACTCGGCCACAAACAGGTCATGCGCGACCACGGCGCGCTCGTCCGCTGCACCTTTTACCGGCCCCTGGCCGCCCATTTTGCAGCAACCGCAGCGCGCGCAGCATTGACTGCGCCGGCGCGCGGGGCCGCCGGCACCAAGCGGGCTGCGGCTGCAGCGGCGCATTCGGCGCACGCAGTGCGGCATGCAGCGGCGGGGCTCACGTTTGCACTAGCACGGGTGCTTGTGCTGCTGTTGGGCTTTGCGTGCCACGCCAGTGGTGTCTTGGATATGACCCAGCTGCCCAACAAGTTGAGGGTGTTCTATGTATGCGCGTACTCAGCGGGGGCTGTTTGCGTGGGCGGTGCAGAGCTTGCACTGCAGCGGCGGACCCGGAGCTAGCTGCGCAGGCCTGGCCGCGCTTGCTATCCTGAGGCTGGCTGGGCCATCTCAGGATGTGCGTGAGAGCACTCACACGATTATGGCAGTTCGCTGATGGTTGTTCCACTTGACTTCTTTCACTGCTTGTTTGCGACAAAGGTTATGGGTCAAATTGCATGAGTTCCCGATTAATTCATTGCACCTCGATCAATTGTAGCCCTGGTTGAGATGTACAACCTCTCGGAAGTGATGACTTGGAAGTGTTGGAGGGAGAGAGACAAGGAAAGAAGTAAAGACATAGAGTGTGTTGTTGAACATCTCGCCTTTGCGTGGTTTGGGATAAGTGACATCAAGTTGCTGCTGGTGAGGGAAGCCTGTGTGCATGACACGAGTAATATTACTGCTGTCATTTCCTGTTTCAAATATCACGGCTTCAAGCTGAAGTGCAAACAGCTGTGTCCCACGAAACGGCATGCTGGCTTAAGCACTGATTGAAGATCGTGGATGCTAACGCAACATGCAAATTGTGCAAGTTGGATATAGGCAGGCACAACAAGATCATGCCAACAATCCCAAAGCCTAAATTCTAATGATCCTTGAGATTGTTACAGCCATAAGGATGCACGGCTCAGTGCAACGTCCTTCACACGCTCATATGCCAAACGGCGCATGTCGCCGCACTCTGAAAATGCAGCGCATGGCGTTGCACTCTGATAATGCAGCGCTGTGATGTGGTTGGGGTGAGGACGAGGGGGATGTGGGGTCGCCCCGGGGTGCGGTGAGCGGCCATAACAGTCGCTGGTTGGGTTGTAGGTAAGGGCCGCCAAAACGGCGTTGGTGGCCAAGCAGCATGGATGCACAAATGTGAGAAAGTGCCTGCAACAATTAGAAACCCCTCGCCCAAGTGAATTCCCAGCAGGGGATGTGGTGGGTGTGTTGGCTGTCAGCTTGCACGCAGCTCGACTGCTGCTGTGTATGGGGAGTCGACCCCCAGACCCGCACAGCACACGAGAGGCGCAGGGAGTGGCGAGGTCACAACACACACAACACATGCCAGCAGGAACACGCGCACGCACACATTCACTTGTGCGCTCGCGGATACACACCCAGCTTCCTAAATTGCAACCAAAAGAACCGCGGCACGATATGGACTGCGCCCCTCGCATGACTCCCGTGGAGACGCCGCTGGTTGCATGCAGTGTGTTAATGTACAGGCAGGTAACCAGCGTGCGGCTGCCGTCTCAGGGCCACACTCTCAGCTCTGCATGTCTCAGCAGCTGGGCCGTGTGCCAACGAGAAGCGCGGCAGCCTGGAAAGCCGGCAGACGCCATGTTCGTTGGTGCTCCAATCCTCCACGCCTGTCAAGTGGTCTTGCAATCTTGTGCAGCACGTACCAGACCCACCCAGCCACTCAAGAGCACACACACAAAAAAACACACGCACACGCACAAACACACACGACCGCCCGCAAAGCAGGGGCCGACAAAAAAGGGGCCACGCCAGGACGTGGAGACGCTCACTGCAGCATGCCAAACGCCACAAGAGCATCTTTTGCCACAGGCCGATAGGGCAACACCGGCGCCAGCCACGACACGGCCGAGGAGCCGCGTGCGCGGCGAACAGAGCAGCTCTCCTTCCTCCCGAAGAGCGGGAGGGGGAGGCAGCTCCTCGCCGGGAGCCGCTGTGGCACAGCCATGATCGTTTCGTGGGTTGTGGGGCCTAGCCAGACAGGCAAGCACAGACCCCACACCCTTCATGTGCGTGCGCGCGCAAAATTGCGCTGAGGTGAAACATGAGGTGAAACGGCCAAGAAGGAAGACCAGTCCTGTGGACTAAGCCCATATGGTATGGGAACATCAATGGCATCTATATGGGTGGATTCCGGGGTAATTCCCGGCCCACGCAAAGTTGGAGAAAGGGCGTTGAGAAGCAACACCGCCAGCTGGCCGCGGTGTGCTGCAGGCGCGGCGACCGCCACGCGCCGGCGCGGCGCCAGCGCTCACCAATCGCTGCGCCCCTCGGCGCCGCTCGACGCCACGACACACAGGTGGCCTGAGCTGCTGAGGGACCGCTCCCGGGCAATGCGCTCCAGAACCTCGTGCGGCGCCTCGCCACCCCGGCTGGGGCTGACGCTGCCGGCGCGCGCCGCAGTGCCGGCCGCCGCCGCCGCGAGGGACAGGGACAGCTGCCGCGCCAGCGCCTGCAGGGCGCCGGCAGACCCGGTAGCTGCGCAGCCGTTGCCGACGATGCTGCCAAACGGGCCCGCCGAAGCTGGGCCCGGGCTGCTGCTGTGCAGGCCCGGACCTGGGAGCCCCGACGGTGTGCCCGCGTGCGCTGCACTGAACACGCCAGCGCCCATGCACGCGCAAGCCGCCCCCAGAGAGTCGAGAGGCTGGCCAATCGCAAAAGGGGAGGCCTCTGCCAGGCCATCGCAGAAGCGCGCGGGCGCCCCTGCCGAGACAGCCGTGCCAAAGGGTCCGTGGTGACGCTTCGACGCCTCCTCCTCCGCAAGCAGTGAAGGCCGCTTCTTGATGGTCGCCTGCTGCTGCTGCTGCGGCTGCTCCGTCTCTACCTGCTCCTGCTGCTGCTGCTGCTGCTGCTGCTGCTGCTGCTGCTGCTGCTGCTGCTCAACGTGCTGGTCCTGGAGCACTCCTTGCGGACCGCCACTGCAGCTCCCCGCCACGGCGGCCGTTGCACCACTACCGCATGGCACGGCCCGTGCTGTGCTCCGTTCCATGCAAGGCGCCGCAAACGCGCTGTCACTGCTGCTGCTGACGCCAGGCAGCGCGCTCGCGTCTGCGCAGATGGTGGCCCAGCTGTTGGCGCAGGCGCAGGCCTGCTGCAGATTCACAACCACAACGGTGGTATCGTCGCGGCTGCGACGGCTGCGAGCGCACTTGGTCATCGCCGCCGCCGCTACGCGCGCCGCCTTGCATGCGCCGCACGTGCTGCGGCGGCGACCGCTGGCACCGCGGGCGCGAGAAGGCGCAGAGGCCAGCGATGGCGCAGGGCCAAGCGACAGGGCAGGGCCGTCAAGCGGCGACGCGGCCGGCGGAGGCGATGGCGTGGGGCTGGCGTCGCCGCTCTCAAGAGCGCCACAGTCGCTGGCGCGCGCGCCCTGGACGCGTGCCCACGCGCCGTGCGCGAAATTGGCAGCCTCCTGAGGTCCCACCTTATCCCACAGCCCGTCGCTGGCGAGCACCTGCAAACAATGCAAGGAAGAGGGCGGCAAGTCACGGATCAGTCAGAAAACTTGCCCACACACAAGGACCAGCACAAGGACCAGCATGCTGCAGTGCATGGACGGACGGCTTGGCTGGCCCCCATACACATTCAGCCTGTAAAACCGCCATCATTCTCGCCTGAGCCCTTGCAATCAACTCGGCCTGCCGAACCAACAGTGCACAAGTGCCCGCCTCCCACCTCCCACTTCGTTGGGCCCACCCCTGCACCCACCAGGAACTCGTCATCGCTGCTGCGGGGGAGGCGCATGACCTCGGGGACGGGAGTGAGGCCGTAGGGCTGCAGGTCATGGTCACCGATGGCGCGCGTGGTGGCCAGCATACCCATCAGCCGCAGGCCGCCGTTGTTGAGCAGCATGCCACCCGCCTGCTCGATGCGCTCCTGCGCGGCCGCAGTGTTTGTGCGGAAGCAGGTGAGGAGCATTGCCCACGATAGCCGTCGGCAGCGCTTGGCTGCGCGCTTGCGTCCCATGAGGGCACACCGCACTGCAGGGCAGAGCGGGCGCACAGGCCTGCACGTTTGCAGAGCGCCCCCCTGATCAAGACTCCAGCTGCAGCCACGCCGCACCTTTTCGTCCTCTCGCGCCGGCCGGTGGTCGTTCGTGGCCGCCACAGCCTGGCCGCCGCGCACGAGCACCGCCCTGGAGTCGCCTGCATGGGTTCAGAAGCGCGCGGCGGCACCACATGGGCAGGCGCACAGGGGCGTGAGTCATTCCGTGTGACCAACCCAAGGTACCATCATCTACAGGAGTGTGCCACAGACACATAACACACTGGCATTTCATCAAACACAAAGACTCCAAGCATGGCAGGGCCCGCAAGCAGCTGGCCAGCTGCATACGGCTGACTCAGCACGGCGGCCCCGCATGTTCATCATCGCTGCGCCTCTTGCATTCCTCACCCGCCCATGCAAGCCACACAGTGGACGGCGTCAGCAGCGCCACGACAGCTGTTGAGCCACTGTTCGTATCGAGCATGCCGCCCGCCTTCAGCTCAGTGTCGGTAGCGACAAAAGCCTCGCGCAGGGCAGTCGCCACCTCGGGCGAGTCAAGCACGCTGCCGTCCAGCACCGCGCCCCCGCTTGACCCCGGCCGCAGCACTGCCCGCAGCCGCGCAGCCACAAAATGGTGCAGCCGGCGTGCGCAATGCTTGGCTGCGGCACCCCCTCCGTGGCCGTCGTAAACACCGAAGAGGCGCACCGCCGGAACATGCCGAGAAGGCGCGTCGCAGGCAGCGGGCTGCGCGTCGCCGCCGCCTGGCAGCAACGCTGGCTCAAGCAGCAGGTCGTCCATAAGGACAAAAGTGTCCTCGACGGCAGTCCCACGCTCGTTGCAAAGAACGGAAAATGCTGCTGCTGGACGATTGGGCGAGAAGCCGGCGTCCTCGTCGCGATTAGCGAGACCTGCACCCTGCTCCTCCTCCACTAGCGCTGCAGGAGTATTTTCTGCCATCTGCAGCATGCCAGTCCGGGGCGCCAGCTCAAGGTCGAAAAAGAGTGAACTTCAGCAAAACTGGCGCGCTGTCTCGTGGATCAAACGTGTGAGTATTCGTATAAGTGTGAATAGTATCAAAACCGAAAGCGGGATAGCGTGCCGTGCGCGTCTAAAGTTTTCCCTCCTTCGGCGTGCAGCTTCTACGGGTGGCGTCAGCCCCGTACAGTGCTGTTGGTGTTGCTGTCGTAGTAGCAGCTTCTCGGTAATGAGCCTGGAAAAACGTCTCGACCATGCGTCCCAGCCTCAGGCTGCTTTACCCTCACAGCGGACGGGTCGTCGGCACATGGGTGTGCATCAGCGCCACAGCAGGCGACTCACCGCCGCTGCGGTGGCGACCACCACTTCCAGGCAAAGTAACCCTTGTACATGCGTCACCCATGCACGCTCGCCTCCCCGAGCCCTCGCCGGTATATTAGTCCTTGTCAGCTCAAGCAGGGCAAGGCCTGGCAAGTGACAACAACGCGAGCGCCGCCCCCACAGTGCCCCAAGGTTCCCCCCTTCTCAAGGGCAATCCACCCACATTGTGACATGTCGTTTTACATGCTTGACCTTCTTGCTACACAGTCAAAAGAACTCATGAACGAGCTCTGGAACGGTCTCAGCCGTCGTCAAAATCGCTGCAGACACCACCGGCACAGGGCAATCGCGCCCCTGAAGATTTCGCTGCTGGCCGCCAGCGCCGGGATCATTCAGTATCAAACAAAATCCGGCAAGGACCCAGCTGTGCTCGCGCGCCGCCTACCCTCAATCAATTGGCGCCACTGACCTGCTGCTAGTACAGCTGTTGAAGCCGTGCCCACAGCCCCTTGCCCCTCATCACCTCTCTGCTGCTGCTGCGTTGCGTGCGTGGACTCATC